GGTGGGCCAATGCGTCCACCCCCAGACTCCCGACGTTCCGTGAGAGGGAAAAAAAAAACTTTTCCACTTGCCTGTTGGTTGCCGCTGCAAAAAAGGTCCACTTCTGGACAGCCCCACAAGCTGACAATCCAGGCAAACGTCTTTGGGTTTAGCGCCCATTCCGATTTGTGCAGCTCCGTTCTGCTCAGAGAGTCTGCCAGCTCGTTTAAGCTTCCCTTGATATAACTTGCCGTTAGCTAGAGGAGGTTGCATTCTGCCCAACCTAGCATATCTGTTGTCAGTGCCATTAAACCCTGAGAACGAGTGCCCCCTGCTTGTTCACATATGCGACTGCTGCGGCATCGTCTGAGGATACCGCTACATGTTGTCCTGCTAAAATATTGCGAAACTGGTAGAGGGCTAACCCTATCGCCTTTAGCTCTCTCCAGTTTGACGACTTGACTCTCCACGTGTAATCCCACGCATCCTGCCAAATGTGCCCCAGGCAGTGGGCCCCCCACCCCCAGGAACTGGCATCCGTCGTGACAACTACCGGCTCTGGCTGGCACCACAATCTGCCTACTGCGAGGTTTCGACCTTCCATCCACCACAGTAGGGATTGCTTGACAACCTCCGTGACGTGGACTACATTGTCTAGGTCTTCTTGCCGACCCCCCCAGATACTCAAGAGCCAATTCTGTAGCGGCCTGGAATTGTGCCCAGGTAACTGCTGGAATGGCTGACGTCAATCAGCCCAACTACTCATTACCGATCTGAGACGTTGCTTAGCAACTTCAGTCTGTGTCTCCTCTAACAGTAAGGACACTTTTTCCACTGGTAAGGAAATTGTCATTTCCTGGGTATTGATCCAATAACCTAAAAACCTTACCAGCTGTGAGGGGACCAGTTGTGACGTTTCTCTGTTCACCAACCATCCCAGACTCTCCAAGTGTTGAATCGCCACCGCCAGCTTCTGTTGAAGATCTCAGACGGGGGCAAAAAACAGGAGGTCGTCCAAATATGGAACGACCCCCACCCAGGCGATCTTAAGGGGGCCAGAGTTTCTGCCAACACTTTGGTAAAGATCCAAGGCGAAGAGGAAAGGCCGAATGGCAACGCCCTGTATTGAAAATGCAGAACCGGCGCTGGTCCCAGGACAGCAAATCTCAGCAGGTATTGGGACGACTGTCTTACAGGAATGTGAAAATAAGTGTCCCTTAGGTCTATAGTCGCTAAAAAGGATCCTGGGGGCAGCAACTCTCGTATTGAAAAGATCGATTCCATACGGAATTTTTTTGTACAGTACTACCCTGTTTAGAGGCTGCAGATTTAGGGTCAGTCTGCACTTTCCAGAGGGTTTTATCCTGGAAAAGATGTGGGAATAAAATCCCCTCTTCTCCTCTAGGACAGGTACCCGTACAATAACCCCCTGGTCCAACAGATCCTGTAGAGCCAATGTCATCAATGCGTCAGCAATGTAAGCCGCTGCCTTGCTCAGCACAGGGAGGGATTCCAGCAGCTGATCTCGATCGGTACCCGACTCCAGGTGGGTTTGAAGCTGGTTCAGCCACACACTTAGAGTTCTAGCCACGCAGTAATGGCCAGCCCTGGTTTAAATCCAGCACTGGCCTATTCCCATCCCTTTCTGAGCAAAGCCTCAGCTTTCCTATCCATAGGCTCCTTCAACACCCCCATATCCTCAAAGGACAAATCAGTCTCTTTGGAGACCATTGATAAGGATGCATCTAGTTTCGGGCATTTCTCCCACAGGCCTGAAACCTCCTCTGCAAAGGGGAATCTACGCTTGTGACCTGCCGAGAAAAACAAACATTCTTTTCTCTGGGTGCTTCCACTCCTGGATCAGTTCCGATAGTGATTTGTGAACTGGGAAGGTACGACCTTTCTTTGTTTGGAGCCCTTTGTAAAGCTTATCATGCACCGAAAGCTCAGCGGACTCCTCCTTGATACCCAGAGTATCCCATATAGCCTTTAACAGCTCACCTGTCTCAAAGGAAGGGAATAGGAATTTGGTAGCTCTACTGCTATGTTCATCACCCTCTGAATCTTCCTGATCGTCCGACTCTACCAGAGAGTTCGAGGATTCACTGGGAGCCTGCTTGCTTACGCAACTTTCTGCGTAGCCCACTGATCAACCCTCCCTCTATCATCCTGGCAAACTAGTGTTCCCCACTAGCGTTCCAACTGGGCTCTGGATCAAGGACATGAAAGAATGAAACGTAGTAACCATTTCTTCTCTCATAGAATGCATCAGACCGTTGAACATCCTGGCTGATTCTTTGGCAACCACTTTCTCTAAACATCCTTTGCATAAGGGTTTGGACCATAAAGATGACATCTTGGCATTGCAAGAAGCACACTTTCTACCCTTTGGGCGAGAGCAGCCAGCTTCAACAAGGGGCTTATCCTCCGTGGCTTTGATCTGTGTAAGACGAGAAGGATGCCATCAGCCAGTGCTCCTCCCAACATGCAAGCAAATGTTTTCAACAGAACTACCCAGCTTGTCCTGTATATGCAGGCCCCCAATACAAGCAGGGTAAAAGGTAAAAAAATTATCTATAAAAAAAAAAAAAAAAACTTGCCTACCTTAGCGCCAGCGTCATGCTCTCCCAGATCTGGAGAAGCAGCACCTGGTCCGGCATCTTTGCAGCTCACTGCCGACCACGCTATCTGCCCACTCCTGACGTCCCCGCCGGCAGAATGCGGTTCCGGTCGGCTCAAGGTGTGCAGCTCTAGTAGTCGTGGCCGAGCGGCGTTTGGCATGACAGGTTTCCACCCCACCGGTCCTCTGTCTCAGCCTCCAGCGCCCTTTATGAACCCGGAAACGGCGCACCGGAAGTGCGTCACTGAAAAGGCGACGAACTTCCTCATACACCTCTTGCACGCCGCAACCAACACAGAGGTAAGCCTAGTGATGCAGCTACCCTCCCGCGCGAGCCACCACGCGGTGCCGAGGGTTACAACAGTGTCCCCGACCTTGGCTCTATCTTTCGGGTAAGTGCTTGGACAGGGTAGCCCCACCGCCAGCACTCCCCACGTACACTGTGCGGTTCCTTGTTCAAAAAGGGTACACCAGCACACTGCTCAGGATAAAACCTTGCCACTGCTGCACGTGGGGGGTGGGGTGGGGGTGTCACCGTCTGGAGCCACTCACGTACAGGAGGATGGTTGTCCTCCCTGAAATGACGTGGGGGAACCTTGGCCTAATTTTCACTCGCATGGAGGTCCGAAAGGGAATCCCTGTATGCGCTGCAGCAGGCTATGCCTGGAGTAGGTCTCAACGCATACCAGGGTTAGGCTCTGCCTTAAGGCAAAAGAAATTGAGCCCTAAAAATAAACATTACGATGTCCCTGTGCAGCCGGAGGAAACACAAAAAAACTGAATTGGGGTGGAAGGAAGTGCTTTTTTTTATCTAATGTGGTTGATGTGTTTCCTGTTGCAGGCAGGCGGAGCCTTTTCTCATTGGCTGTCCTGGAAGATGACTAGGGAAATACCCACAAACGGCCCGGGCGGGACTAACAGTGGCCGGACACAACTGTTGGGGAGGAAGGAGAGCCAGCCACCTTACCGTAGACCATCTCAGAGTCCCTCCAGACGCTCCACATTGGCATGTCGAGGGCAGCTATCACCTGGTGGCTGGGGAAAAACTCAGCTGGAGCCGTCACAAAAGGATGGTTGCCACTCTTGAAAGAGGGGAACCTCGGGGCCAATTCACCCCTAAGGGTAGGACAGAATGGGGACTGCCCCAGGGATCTTGCCCAGGTATCCCCCCAGGCCGCTGGCCCTGAGAAGGAGATACCCTGAGCAGTAGGCCCCTGCCACGTGCACGCAGGCCTATTACAGAAAAATAACAAAATATCCCATGCTCCCATTAGGCCGAGGAAACACAAATAAACCTGAGGCATGCTAGGGGTAAGCACCCTTTTATTTGGTGTATGTAATGCGTTTCCTGTTTCAGGTGGGAGGAGACTCTCTCAGATGCTGTCCTGGAAGATTACTTGGGAAAATGAAAAAAAAAACTTAAAATAAAATACACAAATGTTGCGTTACAAATTAAAGAGCTGAATCAACTAATCGATAATGAGAATCATAATCGATTAGTTGATAATCGTTTATCATTATTGATAAGTTGTTGCAGCCCTACTGAAATACACTTTCATTTAAAACAAGTCCATGGGCATCTTCAAGACCAAAAATAAACATTTGATGGACTACTTCAATTTGATGGATTACATCAAACCAGTCTGCCTTAGTTTTATTTTTTGAATTTCTTTATTTTTACCTTGTAATCCTGTGAATAGCACATTTCCCACTCTCGCTCTCTTAGCCCTATCTATGATCTCAGGCTTACTCTCTTCTCCTTTACATGAAGGTGGTGGGGATTAGTAGTTTACAAAACAAAAAAAGATTGTGCTTTCTGTTAAGATCACAAGTGACACAGCATTTCTGGCAAGATCAATAAGTACTTTCTTGATAAAAATGTTTAAGCTAGAAAAGAAAACCAAGGACAGGCAAGTTGCAATCTATTGTTGTTTTCTGGGTTTTTCTTTGCGCAAAACTTTAATAAAAATAGCCGTTCAAACATATTTAACTACACATTTTGTACATGAAAGCGCACCTATAAATGCAAAATATTATATATTATCTCAAAGCAAAGACCCTGTGGAATAAATTGGTGGTTTTAAATTTTGTTTTTTTACACATCACACAATATTTGCACTACAATTCTATCAAATCCCTATTTTCAGTAAAATGCAGATGAAATAAATTTTGATGCACACAAAAATATATACAGGCAGTCTTCGGGTTACATAAGACTCCTACTTACAAAACGGAGGCTATTACTGTACAGCAGTTATACTGCTACCGCGCTCGTGATGGCGAGGAGTGCCCACCTTTTTGGGTCTGGTTCGTAGTAATGTACGTACATTACAGGAAGTTGGTTCTTGTTAGACGTCCAGAGCCAACTTCCAAAACAGAACAAACAAAAGGCAATACGCACCTACACACATCCTCCCAATAATTCTGCACCCCGCTATTGATGCATGGACAACAGGTATCATCTCTGAAAGTTCTCCTTCAAACACACTGCAAATAAAAAAAAAAAAAAGTAAATGACAAGGAACAGCACATTACAGAGCAGGCCTCATCACTTTGCCTCCATTCCTTAGCCGAACTGTAGGCCAGCCACCAGTCAACCACTGCTGGCCACCCCAGGGTGTAGATGGCAAAACTGGAGTGACAATGCAGGAACCATAAGGCATGCCATGCCATATTAGTAATGCACACAGTGGTGACATCCATACTACTGGGGAGCCTGTGGTTAGCTCTTTCACTCAGTCACAGGAAGTTGATACCAGCTGCATCAACAGGTATTTCTCATCTCAAACCAATATTAAATAAAACAATATTTGTAACAGACAGAAAGTGATAAATTAACAGCAATTCATTGCTTGGGTTTACACGTACTTTAATGGCCTATTCACATTTGTCCATTTTCCTGCAGTAAAACACGATTTTTTTTGCATCCAAATGAAAATCAACAAGAAATCACATTATTTCATATGCAGCTGGTTCATATCTATGAGCTGCTGTTTTTAAAAAGTGCCCTCAATGCAAAGTATGATTTTGAAAGAAAACCAGAACACCTGCAGCAAACCCAACATAGAAAACATACGAAAAAGGACCCAGGACTCTTAAATATTTGTTCACACTATATGCAGTGACTGTTCTTCAGCAAACACTGGTCATCACTAGGGCACGTAGAAAAACATGAGTTGATCACGTGATAACTGTTTCCAGGAATCTTCCAGGACAGCCAATGAGATAAGGCTCCGCCTGCCTGCAACAGGAAACACATCAACCACATTAAATAAAAAGACTCCTCCTTCCATCCCAATTCAGTACCCTCTAGGACCGAAGGCTACCAAATGTACCAAAGTATCCCCTCTGTCATCCAAACACGGATGTCCCCTGGATACCAACCAAGGGCGGGAATCTGCTGTCCTGGAAGATTCCTGGAAACAGAGTTATTAGGTAATCAACTCATGTTTTCCCCAGTCATCTTCCAGGACAGCCAATGAGAGGATCAGTGAGGACAAATCTTACCTCTTAGGGTGGGACCACAGCTTGCAGGACCTTCCTGCCAAATGCCTGGTCTTGTTGAGTCATAAGGTTCAGCCTGTAGTGCCTGACGAATGTCTGGAAGCTGGACCATGTGGCTGCTCTGCAGATCTGGTCTGGAGTAGCCCCTGCTCGCTCTGCCCATGAAGTAGCCCATGCTCTAGTCGAGTGTGCTGTGAGTGGACCTGGTAACACCAAGCCCTGTGCCTTGTAATTCTCAGTAATGTATAATAAGCAAAGTTCACCCGAAAATACGGAATCCCAAAATAGGAGCTGTCTATAATAATCAAACAGGTAATGATAATGTAACAAATTTTAATGAGAATTAATAAAAAAGTAGAAAAACATATAAATACACCTACTGACAAAGAACATCTAAAATCAATTAAAATGACAAACAAGTCCTCCCTGATATCGCCCTGTGTTGATTGATGTAGATGAGAATCTAGTGACCGTTAGTGATGGTCACAAAGAGTCACTGATATTGGACACAAGCGCTGTGTTAGGCAAGCAAATACTCAGTATCAAAGAAAAGAAAAAGAAGGAATTACTCACTTCTGATGTGGTTTAGGTGGTGAGACAATTCCTAACAAAAAAGACTTCAAGCATGCATGAGGTAATGGTCACAATGGCTGTCCCAGACTGCTGGTCCCCGGTTTCAGCAACTTTATTTTCCTGTATGTTGGTATAATTGCTGCGAGGCCTGCTGTGGATCCTCCATGTCGGCTCCTGCCTATGAAGTGGTATTCAGACCTGTGTTTGATAACAAAGCTGGAAAGTTGTATTCCATATGTGCGGCCGCACTAACGAATGCAGGTGAATAAAGATCCACGAGGAGTGTAGTTTTCTCTTAGTGGGTCCAGTCAGCATGGATTTAGCCAAAGAGGAGTGAACAGATAGTATTCAAAGTGAAGGTAGTACTGTCAGATCCACCATGATTTGGTAGGTTTGCTTTGCCATCAGTGTCCCCAAAGGGATCCCGTATATCCAGCAGAGTCTGCAGAGTAAAATCATGGGCACACAGGGAGGGCTGCACACACGTTTAACCCTAACGTTTCATCCCTACACACAGGGGCTTCCTCAGGAGGAACGTGTGGTAGACATCTTGCAGAGGTGAATCATATAGCTCCTGGATCAGAGCTTAATGAAGTTCAGGTGTACTTGAACAATTAGTAAACCGATCATCGGTTTAAACATTCATTTTCAAGGGCAGCCTGTAAAGCCCTATATATTTGCCTCAAAACATTCCGTGGTCATCGTGATTACACTATAAAATCGTTTTATAAAGTGTAACAGCCCCAGATTTAAATACATTCTTTCAGTCTCATACAAATATTTGCATAAAAGATGATAACTATAAACTATAGACATAAGCTCTGGATCTGGTTCGTAGGTGATCTATATCTCAGGTCTGATGTATCAGAGGGTCTGTCTGAAGGTTTGTAAACGGGGAGCAGATCTCACATATGTCCCCATATAGTTTATATAAAAAAAAAAAAAAAAAAACTCAGTAATGGCCATCTTAATCCACCTAGCTATTGTGCTTTTAGTGGCCCTGTTCCCTCTAGTGGGACCCCCAAAGACTACAAAGAGGCGGGTCGACTGTCTCCAAGGTTTCGTGACCATAAGGTACTCCAAGACGCACCTTCTTACGTCAATACATTGCCATTCCTTTTCTCTAGCAGAAGTAGGGTTAGTTGCGAACGAAGGGATGACCACTTGGAAAGTGGACACCACCTTCGGCAAAAAAGCCAGGCCGGCCGCAAAATAATTTTATCTACCAGGATGGTGCAGTACGGATCCGCAATGGAGAAAGCTTGAATTTCGCTCACTCTCCGAGCAGAAACTAATGCTACCAAGAGGGCCGTCTTCATCGTCAGAATTGTAGAATCGTATTTGAACATTCCCCCAGGGGCTCGAAAGGCTGCATGAGAAACCCTTGTAATACCACCGAGAGATCCCAATTTGGCACGACCTTACCCTTTGGGGGTTTTATTCTGACTACAGATCGCAGAAAGCGCTTTATGAGAGGTTCTTCCGCCAGTCTAATGTCCACAAAATTAGACAGAGTTGAAACCTGCACTTTCAGAGTACTACAGGAAAGCCCCTTCTCCAGACCCCCCCTGTAGAAAATCTAACACCAACGGCACTGTGTCGGCCGCTGGTCTACCTTGGCTGTTGTACCAGCTGGAAAAGACTCTCCACACTTTCAGGTAAATCTCCTTCTGTGCATCAGCGTGGACACTACCTTTGAAGATAACCCCTTGTTCATCAGCACCTCCCTGGCGGGTGTCTCACCGTGCCCTGTACCAGCAGATCTGCCGTTGCCGGAAGAAGCAGAGGCCCCTCCACACACAGCTCTAGGAGTGTTGTGAACCACGGCCTCTTCTGCCTGTATGGCGCTATGAGAATTAACGTCATCCGTTCTCCCCTGAGTTTCGGAATCAACTGCAGCGGAGGAAATGCGTAACCTAAACGTAACCTCCAGGGGTGCGCCAAAGCGTCTACCCCCAGAACTCAGTCGTCCCTGGAGAGGGAAAAGAATTGTTCCACCTGCCTGTTGTTGGCAGCTGCGAAGAGGTCTACCTCCGGACAGCCCCACAAGCTGGTGATCCAGGCAAACGTCCTAATTTTCAGAGCCCATTCGGACCTGTGAAGTTCCGTTCAGCTGAGTGAGTCTGCCAGCTCGTTCAGGCTGCCTTTGATATGCCTCGCCGTCAAGGAGAGGAGGTTGCGTTCTGCCCATGACAGAATTTCTGTCGCCAATGCCATTAGGCCCTGCGACCGGGTGCCCCCCTGCTTGTTTATATAAGCTACCGCTGCAGCATTGTCCGAGGCCACCACTACATGGTGTCCTGCTAAAGTATCTTGAAACTGGCAGAGAGCCAGCCCAATCGCCTTTAACTCTCTCCAGTTTGACGACTTGAGTCTGCCTGTGTGCTCCCAGGTATCCTGCCAAATGTGCTCCAGGCAGTGGGCTCCCCATCCCCAGGCATCTGTCGTGACTACCAACGGTGCTGGCTGGCACTACAGCCTGCCAACTGAGAGGTTCCAACAGTCCATCCACCACAGCAGTGATTGCTTGATCTCCTCCGTGATGTGGACTACTTTGTCTAGGTCTTCTTGCCGACCCCCCCAGATCCTCAATAGCCAATTCTGTAGCGTCCTTGAATGGGATTGCGCCCAGGTAACTGCTGGGATGGCGGACGTCATAAGTCCCACCACTCTCATTACTGATCTGACTGATACGTTGCACTGCAACTTCAGTCTTAGAGTCTCCTCTACCAGCAAAGCCACTTTTGTCCCCCGGTAATGCAATGGTCATTTCCTGGGTATTGATCCAATAACCAAAAAACGTTACCGTCTGTGCGGGGACCAGTTGTGACTTTCCCTGTTCACCAACCAACCCAGACTCCGCAAGTGCTGCATCGCCAGCTCCAGCTTTTGTTGGAGCACACCCTCTGATGGGGTGAAAAACAAAAAGGTCGTCCAAGTATGGAATGACCCCTACCCCCCGTGATCTTAGGGGGGCCAGAGTCTCTGCCAATACTTTGGTAAAGATTTGAGGCGAAGAGGAAAGGCCAAACGGCAAGGCCCTGTATTGGAAATGCAGGACCCTCGCCGGTCCCCGGTCCGCAAACCTCAGTAGGTATTGTGACGACTGTCTTACTGCAATGTGAAAATAAGCGTCTCTTAGGTCTATAGTTGCTAAAAAGGATCCTGGGGGCAGCAACTCTCGTATTGAAAAAAAATCGATTCCATACGGAACTTTTTGTACAGTACCACCCTGTTCAGAGGCTGCAGATTTAGTATCAGTCTGCATTTTCCCAAGGGCTTCATCCTGGAAAAATGTTGGAGTAAAATCCCCTCTTCTCCTCTAAAACCGGTACTCGCACAATGACCCCTGGTCCAACAGATCTTGCAGAGCCGCTGTCATTGCCTCTGCTTTCCTCCGGTCTTTGGACAGGAAAGTAATCAGAAGCCTGGGCGGGGGCCGTTCCGTCAGTTCTATTTTGTAACCGGTCTGAATCAGCTCCAAAATGAATTTGTTGCTGGTCAACTCCCTCCAGAGCGGGAAGAATTCTCCCAGTCTTCCTCCCACCCCGAGCAACCGGTCATTGGGATTTATTGGGCTGCTGAGGTGGGTTAAAGAGGAAATTGCTCTTAGACTTCCCCTTTTTGAAAGCCCACCCTTTGGACTGGTCTTTTTTCCCTCCATAAAATCCCCTTTTTTCTTTGCGGAAATTTTGACACCTTTGGCCACGAAAAAACGTTTGCTGCTTGGGTTCTTCTTGTCCGCGGATCTAACTAACACCGCCTCCAACTCCTGGCCAAAAAGCAAGGGCACTGGGCACTTGCTTGCTCGCTCATGCAGCTTTCTGCGTAGCCAAACTACCTTCCCGGGTAAACTGGTGTCTACCAGTGTACCCACTGGGCTCTGTAACACAGACCTGAAAGATTGAAAAGTAGTAACCATTTCATCTCTCATAGAATCTATCAGACCCTTGAACATCCCAGCTGATTCCTTGGCCACCACTTTCTCTAAACAACCTTTGCATAAGGGTTTGGACCATGAATGTGACATTTTGACATTGCAAGAGGCACACTTCTTCCCTTTTGGGCGAGAGCCGCTAGCTTCAGCATGGGGCTTATCCTCCGTGGCCTTGCATAAGACAAGGATGCAGTCAGCCAGTACTCCACCCAACATGCAAGAATGTTTTAACCAAACATCACTCCCCAGCTTGTCCTGTTCAACAGGCCCCCAAAACAAGCGGGGTAAGGATAGGGGAGATCTATAAAAAAACCCGCCTACCTTAGCGCCAGTACCATGCTCTCCCAGATCTGGGGAGGCAGCACCCGGTCCGGCATTGTTGGCATCCTTGCCCTCACTGCCGACAACGCTAACAGTCCGCTCCCGACGTCCCCACCGGCCGTATGTGGTCCCGGTCGTCTTCGAGGTGTGCAGCCTTGTAGTCGTGGCGTTGAATGTGACAGATTCACCCCCAGATGCTCTGCTCATGCCGCCAGCGCCTTTATGCCCCGAACAACCTGCGCGTTTGGAGATCCGGCCCGTGCCATCTGCCTATGCATTGCCACTGCAGTCCCCCGACTTGCACCACTTTCACAAGGGGTTGCTCTGCCGCCACTCAGGAACCCACCACACTGCACACTGGGGGGGCCACGGTCTGGAGCCACTCACGTCAGGAGGATGGTTTCCCTCCCAGAGCGACGGAGGGGAACCTTGGCCAAATCGGATGGGGGTCCGATAGGGGAAAAAACCCTGTATGCGCCGCAGCAGACTATACCCGGAGTGGTCCCAACGCATGCAGGGTTAGGCTCTGCCCTAAGGCAATAAAACAATGAGCCCAAAAAAACAAACATTATGATGTCCCTGTGTAGCTGGAGGAAACAAAAAAAAAAAAACTTAATTGGGATGGAAGGAGGAGTCTTTTTATTTAATGTGGTTGATGTGTTTCCTGTTGCAGGCAGGCAGAGCCTTATCTCATTGGCTGTCCTGGAAGATGACTGGGGAAACAAATATTTTCTATGAGCCCATTCACAATACAATGTGGATGTGATGTGTGGTGCCCTGCGAAAAAAGGCAGACATGCTGCATTTTTTTTTTTTGTACATAGTGCGGGGACCTGACAGTGTACAAAGTAAAGTGAAGAATGAAAGTAAACACCGTCTCAGCGCATCCCACCGCACACCCATCTGACTGGTCACACCACACTAACCTGCCCACTAAAACATGAGTTGATTACCTGATAACTCTGTTTCC